GGATCAGTTGGTAGAGCTGCTGCCTCTCAGTAAGAAGGGCACCAGTTCAAACCCAAGCCCGGGGCCTTTCTGGGAAGGATTTGCATGTTCTCTCCGTGCATGCGTGGGTTTTCTCCGGGTACTCCGGTTTCCTCCCACAGACCAAAAACATGCATGTTAGGTTGATTGGTAACTCTAAATTGTCTCCAGGTATGGGTGAGAGAGTGAATGGGTGTTTGTCTCGTTTGTCTCTATGTGTCCCTGTGATGGACTGGATACCTGTCCAGGGTGTCCCCCGCATCTTACACAGTGATTGCTGGACATGCGCATCAGTGACCCCCATGACCCGAAAAAGGAAGAAGCGAGTAAAGATGATGGATGGATGGATGGATGGATGGATGGATGGATGGATGGATGGATGGATGAAGAGTTGAGTTTTGTACTCTATCTCTATTAGATTAATGGTGTAGCATTTATGGAGATTATTATTCTATAAAAACATAGACTGTTTATCTTAGAGTGTGATGATACCTCACTCATAGACACCTGCTCAGTTGTATAGATGTGTGTGTATATTTATGTAAACTTTATTATTTATTATAAATAATTATTACGTTCTACACCCTCCTTCCTCAGGTTTGAGTTGGCTCGGTCGCATTCGTCTACACTAGCTCTGTATTAGACAGCATTCAGCTAGGATGAGAAAGAGAAAGAGGAGAGGGCGGACTCCAGAAACCAGTTTATCACCATCAAACTGGTTGGTCCACTGTGTGAGTGTGCTGCTTGTGGGACTGAGTTTGTTGTGGCTCCTCGTACTGATGAAGTCCTTTGGATGAAGAACGAAACATTTCAACACAATGAAACCGTCCAGAAGACCTGACTTCACTTTGTTGGATTTTTTACCTGGATTATTGAGCATGAACTTTGATGAAACGTTAAAATATATTACACTACTTAGAAGCACAAGGGATCCTCAAAGTTATAAAAAGTGGTATTATAGTGATATTGACATCTAAACACAGCTTCCTGCAGGTGATTGGTTAAAGTTGGACTAGTGATAAAATATTTGTAAATGTCTACATCTGGTTTTATATTTAAACAAACTGTGGTATTTTGGCATAGTTAATTTAAAAAATAAAACAAAAGTAAAAACCTTGAATGAATTTGATGTTTCATAAGACATAAGCAAGGCCCTTAACGCCCACCATCTGCTCCCAAACAGGTCTCTCTTGAAAATGAGTCCTCGTGACTCAATGAGACTACCTGTATAAATAAAGGTTAAATAAAGGAAATACAAATAAATACGAAATGCAGAGACATTCCCGTCACACCAACAGACACACCCTGTCAACAGGACTGTCTGTAGTGCAGACATCATGGCTGTTCAGATGATTATACATCTGATTTTACTCCATCTTTTCTTCACAGAATCATCCCACACTTAAACATTTTAGTTATTAAACCTTCTACAATTATTGCAATAAACTATTCTTATTCCTCCTTCCACGCAGTGTGTCTCTCACTGCAATGGAACTTGAAGTTTATTGTTATTTTTATCATTATTTCAAACCTCTCAGGGTGCAGAGTTCATACATCTAAACTCATTAACATCTGTTGCATCAGCTCAGTTTTCTCCTCAAAAACCAGGACTATTTTTGAATTTATTTCTTGTATGACAGACACTTAAAAAAAAAAAAAAAAGACTCTCCTAGATCACTTTTTTCCCCCCAATGCAGCCTAAAGTTTGCACACAGTAACTGTTTGATTCTTTTCCCTCTGTCTGCCTGTATTATTAAGAGAGCTGTCGGCGACGGCCAGGGCAGGTGTGTGGTTACTATGGCAACCATATCAAGCTACTTGCAACAGCTTTAACATACTTTTCTCAGTCATTTGACACTTCTTTTACAGTTTGTACACTGAAATGTCTGCATTTTGTCAGCTATTACTAAAAGAGTGACTAATAACGTTTTATTGAACTTTATAGAAAACAGCTGATTCGTGTTGCAGGTTAGGGCTGCAGCTGCTTTGGCACCTTTGAAAATTGTTGGTGTTATTAATGTCACTTAATGTGTTCAGCATTTTCACGAACACACTCACGCACACAGATTTATAAGCGGTGTCCTTAAGCCCCAGTGGTCCAGCTGCAGCAGGAGGCCTGTCTGAGCGACAACAGTTAGCTCAGTTCAAGCTAGCTGGAGTCATTTACGTAAATGTTCGTTTTGTCACAACCAGATGTAAAACTCTCCTTCCCCCAACAACTGATCCCCAAAGCAAAGCGATCATTTCAAACAAAACCTATCACTCCCATCTGAATGTTTTCTGCTGGACTGTGCGAGCGTGTGTGTGTGTGTGTGTGTTCAATAAAAACATGGATTGCATGCGCTAACACAGACAGATGCACTCATCGTCAGAACTGTGTTTACCATCCGTCCCCATTACGCACACAATTACTCAGAGGCTGAAAACAAGCGGGCTCATTTGCGAGATGCTAAGCTGCACTGGCTGAGGAGATCTCATGCTTTATTAGCCCGTTGTTTGGGAGAGGCCTTCTGACAGGAAGCTGAGCAAATAAATAGATGGATTGATAAAAAGCTTGCTGTGCAGAATTCTTCAAGATGATTTTTTTTTTTTTTTGAGAAATTACGTTGCCATAGTTCGTAACAGATGATCTATTCCCTGAGTGATTTATGAAATCAATTTGTCTTGTTATCGGCAGCCCGACTTTGTCAGATAACATCGCAGCACCATGCGTCCCCCTTTCTTGGGCGAAGAGTGAGACAGAGGCGTGTTTGTGCGTGCGTTGGCATAATAGATATGTTGAAAATACCCATCAGTCACTCTGAGCACTGAAGCTGTTGCATCATGCTGAGAAACATGTAAAAAATGATGCACTGAATGTTGATTATATTCGGCTAAAAGAAGTGAAGGAATTTCCAAAGACTTGAGTCTTGCAGTGTTGGTATGTCTGGTATTCTTCAGGCAGCGCTGCCATTTGTCAGTCAGCTGACTCTGAAACAATCTGCACCCCCCATTCCTAACCAAACACCATCTTTATCTACCGCATGTCTCTGTGGGACCTGGTGACCATCACACCAAACCGAGGATTAAATCAGATTTGGTCAAAATGAACAAAGCATGTTTTCAGATTTGTGTCTTTCTGAGGAACTTTTGATACCTTGATCGTACTGACACCATGAGCTGTTCCAGAAATTTAGATTGATTTGTCTTCCTAATCTGGATTACTCCAGGAAAACTGGTCTGAATTCTATTTTTTTCCTTATGTAATGAGCATTTCTTGACGTCGTATGAAAGAAAAAAATCTCAAACCATATTTGGATATTGAGAAACTGGAAAGTTAAACGGTAACGTTATTTAAAACTTTACTTAATTAAAGAATTGTAGTTGTCACTTTTTAATTGTTACATATTTTATTCAAATTTCCATTAATACTTTTTAGATGTTTTTTTTTATTTATGATTTTCCTAAATTTATGATCAATTGACTGTATTCTTGGATTGTATTATTTTTTCTATACTATTTGTATGTAGGCTTTATATAGGTCCATTGGGTTTTTGCCTCTTCCTGCACTGTTATTATTATTTATTTTCTCTTAATATTTTTGATCTGTATTTTAATTATGCAAACTAAACTAAACTAAAGTCTAATGTTTGCTGGGCACAGTGAAAGTCTAAAGAAATTTAAAGATTTTCTGTTCAAAATCATCCTTAGTTGTTGGTATTTCTCAGAAAAGTTTTGAAAACATACTTTAGGGTTTTATTTCAGACATTTCATTCAAAGGACCCAAAGATAAGGTATTTATTTAATATATTTTGACAAAATGCAAATACAGTAGTCCCTCGTTCATCTCAGGGGATCTGTACCCACGATAAGTGAAAAATTGCCAAGTAGGAAAAGTAGTACAAGTAGTAAGTAGTAGTTTATTTTAGTATTTATATATATATATATATATATATATATATATATATATATATATATACACTATATATATAAAGGTGTTTTAAACCCTTCCCACACTCTTGCAATATTCTAAGCAATGTTTCTAAACTCTAAACGCTCTAAAAGAGCATAGAATGTCATGATTTCAGTTCTCTGCCTCGGCTGCACTCTGTCACCTGCCAGCGCTCTTGGCCACGCCCACTTCTCTGCTACAGAGCGGAGATCAGCTGATCAGCTGCAGGAGGAAGCTTCTCCTGCAGCTGTGGGCTGCACACAGGTGCTAAATCATTTAAAATAATTAATTTTATATTTAAAAATTCCATGCCGATTGTGTGGCTCATCCATCAATCAGCCAATTGTGTTATGTCCAATCTTATTTTCAAAAACCGCGATAGAGAGTCCACGAAAAACAAACTGTGAAGTAGCAAGGGACTACTGTATCGCAAACGTTCCTACTAATTCACTATTGTTAATTATATCACTACATAACACTTTACACATGAATCTTTGGTTCGTTGTGAAGGCTCACATATATGAAGTTGAAAAACGGTGAACACTTCTCCTGACAAACGTCTGGAAATAGAAATATGTGTTTTTATGTGTACATAAGAGCATGAGGTTCCTTACAGCTTCTTTTTCTTGGGTCAGTGAAGTAGAACCCTCCAAATATCACTGCAGCCCCGATGAGCTTTGTGTTGTTTCAGGTCACTCACCTTAATGTCTTTAAGCCATCTCTTCAAGCCTTCCTCGAGGACCTGAAGGAAATACTATTTTGACATTGGTCTCCAGTGCCGGCAAAGAATTATATGAAAAAGTACTGCGTTCCTTTCCATGTTCTGCGGTTCAGGAAGAGATAAGCAGTTTGTTTTGCCTAAGACGTCAAAGTGGGGAATCAGAAGTGACAGCAGAAGGGATGAGATATTTCCAGATATGTCTTGATGGATGTGGTTTAATCTTAAGCCTGCCAGATGTGTCAGGGATTTGCCAACACCTTATGGAGTAAATCTCCCCGTGCCGCTTTCTCATTCTGCACCTCCGTTCCATCTTTCTGTCTGTCTCTGCAGTGAAGTTCGAGGACTGTCAGCGCTGCAGAGACGTGGGCTTCGTCAGCAGCGACCCCAACTTCAGCGTGAGGTCCGATGGGACGGTGTATGCTGAGCAAGATGTGGCCAACCTCTCAGAGCCTGTGCAGTTCATGGTGACGGCACGAGGGCTGCACGATCCCCACATCTGGGAGACCACCGTGAAGCTGGCCCTCGCCGGACATCTTCATCCTCTACCCCTCACAAAGGTAGTAACTAGACGGAAGGTCAAGAATACAAAAACTTCATTCAGTTGTTCTGCAAAAGCATGAATTATTTATTTTTTAGTCAAATCTACCATAATTTCTGGACTATTGAGTGCACCCGAATTTAAGCTGTGCCACTAAATAATAAAAATAAAAATTATACATATAAAGGCCACGCTTGTCTATAAGCCGTGGGTGTCCATGTTATAACATGATATTTACACAGAAAGGTTTTTTTTAACTTTTAATTAAATACATACTGGTAACATACACAAATCTGTACAGTAAATTATTATTATTATTTTTTTTTTCTTAACAGTGCCTGTAACACGGCTGGTTAAAAAAAAATCACAAAAAAACAGTAGCCTACCAGGAAGTCATTGATCACTATCCATCTTCCTCCTGCACAAGCTTGAACTGTTCTCCTGCTCCACTGTCAGGATCCACTGTCAGGATCCACTGGCAGGATCCACTGGCAGGATCCACTGGCAGGATCCACTGGCAGGATCCACTGGCAGCAGAGCAAAAGTTTCTCCTCTCCCCGTTTCATTGGTCCACTGTGACCTGTTCAGTAATTTCATTGGTCGGATTTTTATTTAAATGTTTTACCTTTATTTATTGAGTCACGAGGATCCACCCTGCAAAGAGAGACGTGTATTGGTCAGCTGTGAGAGCGCCCGGGTGTGACAAGGCTCAATGTTTTGGCGGCATGAAGCTCGTTAGCCCATTAAAAAAAAAAAAAATCCATAATGTAGCTGCAGCATTGTAGAAGCTGCGGTGTTCAAAGAGTGTAAAAAAAGTAGTGGCTTATCGTCCGGAAATTATGGTAAAAGATTCTTAAATCAGCTCTTAAAGTGGATGCATTCTGCCGTTTTGATTGCAACTTGACTGTTTCTTATGACGTTAAGAAAGGACGCTTTGGGCAGGTCTGAATGTTTTGACCTGTGCACACAGCAGATGTGATTTAATGAAACGTGTTTAAACTTCAGTCATCAGTTTCTCAGTTGAGGTCATAGTTTATTAGCCTGTTCTCCTTTTTGTTTCTGTAACTTTGTAACATACAGGACAGTAGTTGTCCGAATCCTCCCTAAAACTTCTGTATTTTCAACATATTTAGGGTAAGTCTGCCACACAGGTAGAAATAAAGAGTTTTACACAAATGATGTTGTTTTTTTTAAGACACTATAGAAACATCCAGATAGTTTCATAAATCAATGTCAATAATAATGCTAAAGACCTGCCTTTCATAAAAATATAACAGTTTATGAACATAAAGGTTGTGGTTTTGCTCGTTAAGACTTTAAGCTGCGACTTAGTGATTTATTTACATTTATGTGTGAAAAATATTTAGCTATTTTTTTACAAATATGAAAGGACTCAGTAAGGTCTGCATCATCCTTCAATAGAACTATGCGGGGGGGGTGGTTCTGTTTTGTCTTATTGCTTACAGTTCAGCCCAGACGAACATCACATGAGGGTAGGAAATGTGAAACACCCACACCTGCCTCCACCCTCATTTGCCCCACTCTGGGCCCTTGAGCAAGGCCCTTAACCCGCACCATGTGCTCCCCCGGGTGCCCTAGACAGCAGCTCTCTGCTCCACACAGAGGGCTGTGGTAGCTCGGTGGTCTGTGGTTGAGTCAGGAAGGACATCCAGCATAAAAACAACTGTCAAGTCTTCGTGTGAGTTAGTTCACTGAAAGAAGCAGCCGGAAGAAAAAAGACGTTATAGAATAAATTAAATATATCAAGCATCAAGCCAATTCTGTGGCTCCATACAAACTTTATTTAGCTGGAAAAAAGTTTGAAATGTTTCTTTTAAACATAAAGCTTCCATGAACCCTTCATTAATTGAAGTTTACAACGATGGGTTTATGTGTTAATTTGTTCCAAGTGACAGTGACAGCTTTGGATGTTGTGTGTAGATGATGATTATAATTTCTATTTCAGTTGCTACAAGGAACAATGAATGCTAATTAAAAATTAGACTTCTTTGTCAAAATAACCCAACTAACCAACCCAAAATTAATTAAAACAAACAACAGATTAAGCTATTAACAATAAATATCAGAGGAATAACTTGCTTCTTTGTTTTTTAACAAGTTATAACTAATTATTAGTAATAAAAAGGGGTACTCCTTCAGAAACAACAAATGGCTGATTACTGTTTTTTATATATTTACACCTATTTTAAAAGCACATTTATTTTTTCCTCTTAAAGAAGCTGCACATCTGTTCTGTAATGTGTCTCATGTTCTCAGTCAGTCGGCAGCAGAAAGCTGTCATTAACGTGTCTCACACTCAGAGCTGCTTGCTTTTAACGAGTCAACAAGTGGTGATTGCAGGTATTTGTTTTAGTCTTCAACTTTTATTACTTCTGCTTGATGAAAGATAACACCTTATTGAATCTGATGAAAACGTTGTAGAAAAAAGGATGAGAATACCTGAGGAGCAGACTTGTGATGGGATGTGCTTCATTGTTTTTGGTGGAGAATTTAAGAAATTGTTTTTCTAATTAGGCTCCCAATTAGAAAGCCAAGTTACAGAATATTGATCTCAAACACTGAAGTATAAAGATGGTGTCATGCTGTTATTCAGAGTTATGTAAAAAGGTATTTCAAATAAGTGTTTGTTCACTGCCATAACCTGCAGGCTTCTTCTCCCAGGCTGCACTTTGTTAAGCATCAAACCCATCATCATCCTTTTTTTTAAATTTCCTGCACTACTTGTTGAACACCACTGAGCTTAATGTTCACTCGTGTTTCTAATCATGACAAAATGCCTGAGACTCGATGTAACAAAAGCAGTTTCGGGGCAAGGATTTAAATTCTGCCCACTCCTGGTGGCGCATGGAGACTGGGAAATAATTGTCATTGATTGAGCTAATGTTCCACTCCGACGGAGTCTGCAAAGACCAGGTGATGTCGTTTCACTGTATAATTATGTTCCACACGTCGTAGAGCAAGAGACAGATTCAATAATTGAGCAAAAGAAAAATAAATGCGTTTCTCAGATGACATAACATTTTTGAAAACAAGCTTTTCTATGCTTTTTGTTGTAGTTGTTGTCAAAGTGGTGTTTGCATGTGTTCCTGTCAATTTCTCCCTGTGTGTACATGCTATTCCTTAAATAGGTTTTAGTTCCAGCATCATGGATGGGATTTTGCTTTCATTTAGGGGAAGTTCACTGTAATCTGTTCCAAACTTGTTCCCATTAATTAGGTAACGCGGGTGTGAGCTAACTGGATATAGGACATGACTGAAATTTCACTTCATATTCATTTACTTTTGATTACGTTTTATCCAAAAAATGTGGATATTGTAGTTTAATACAGATATTTTTAAAAACCTCAAATCATTAAACTACCTGAACTGTAAAACATTTACTGACTACACTGAATGGTGACAGTAGGAAAGCTGAAAAACTGTCCTTTTTCACATTTTTCCTTACTGGCATCCAGTCATAATTATTGAAATGGAGTAATTTGGTATGGAGGGCAGAGGATCTGACTGTTTAATCTTCAGAGAGATGGGGACCTGCTAAAGTGTAGCGCTGCCCTGCCGAAGGCTAGGACTCTGTGGGCGAGGCTGTGTCGACTAATCTCCCATCACTCTTCCTTAGGCAGAATATTTGCTCAAACAAATGTAAAGCCATGACTGCATTCTGATGACAATCAATTACACAATAGTATCAAACTTTATAAGTACATTTGAATACTAGAAGTTGAACTGCAGAGTTTTAAAGTACTAGTTCAGATCTTTTTTTCTGCTGGCATTCTGTGGAAAAACATTTGTCATGATCTTACCTGTTCTAAGTTCTAAATTGTTTAAGATGAAGCAATTTAACAAAACTGATGATGTTTACAACCGTGAATGAGCACTAAGATCATCTAGCCAGATTATCTCAGAGCAGCTTAGGTTAAAATTAAAGCACTTAAGGGGGCCTTTGCTGTGGCAGCCCCCTGACTCTGCTGCCCTTTAATATTTGTACTGCAAAGCCTAAACCTGTTTTTCAATCTTGTCTGAACAGTTATCTCTTTATATTGGCTTCTATTTTAAATTTAGGCCATGTTTCTTGAGGTCTTTTATGTTTTTTTTTCTTGAATAAGATTTATTTTTATTTTTTTAACTTTGAAAGAATTTACCTCAGACGTTTTCCATATAGGTAGATATGCAAATCTGAATGCAGATAGATATGTCTAGATATGTAGGTAAGCACTCTGCAGAATCTGCAAGAAAACTTGGAAGCTTGAGTCACATCCTCGTAAAAGAGATTAATAATCTCAATGGATTTCTTCCTGGCAAAATAAAGGTTTAAATAAAACAAAACAAAAAACATGATTTATCTGTATTAGGCTTGCTGTAGTCTGTGCAGGTAAGGACAAATGTCTGATACATTTAACATTTGACATATTTTCAGTCACTTCTGCTGTTTTCACAGGGATCACGTGGTAGAATACTAATTTTGCTTAAAAATGTTATATCTAGGGACACATTAACTATCAATATGAGAAGCAACGCTGTAGATTTTGGGATTTTTGGTTTTTGGACCTGAACATCTTAGGGATAAATGTTTCAGTCTTTCTCCCTCCTTGGATGGCGTTAATCTGTCCCCCAGCTCTAATGTTAAAACTCTTGGTGTTATTTTTAATCAGGACATGTCTTTTATCCCCCACATTAAAAATGTTACTTCTTCCACCTGCATAATATCACTAAAATTAGAAACATCTTATCTAAAAATGACGCAGAAAAACTGGTTCATGCATTTGTCACTTCTAGACTGGACTATTGCAATGGTTTATTATCTGGGTGTCCAAATACTTCTTTAAAACGTCTTCAGTTGATCCAACATGCTGCTGCCAGAGTCTTAACTGGAGTTAGAATATGCGGCACATTAGCATGCGAATGTTATCTTGACTTAAACCTTGAAAATAATACTTCAGTGTTTAAAGGGAGGTTCTGTGGAAATGGTTCCACAAGAGAGGAGCCTGATAACTGACAGAT